CCCTCCCAGACCCCTGGCCCAGGGGTGACCCATGGAGAYGCACAGGATGGGAGCTGCTGGGCTCAGATCTGGGACAGGCCCAGTAGGAGAGGGATGAAGATGTGGAGACGTGAATGTAGGGATGAAGACATGAAGAAAGGGATAAAGCCCAAGAACAGGGTAGAGCTACCTAAGAAAGGGGAGAAGCCCCCTAAGAAAGAGATGGAGCCTCCTAMGGAAGGGGTAAAGCCCCCAAGGGAAGGGATGAAGTGCCCTAAGGAAAGGATGGAGCGCACTAAGGAAGGGATGGAGCACCCAAAGGAAAGGATGGAGTCCCCTAAGAAAAGGATGGAGCTCCTAAATGTTAGGGATAAAGCCTGCAAAGGAAGGAATAGAGCACCCTAAGCAAGGGGTAAAGCCCCTAAAAGAAGGGATGGAGGCTCCTAAGGAAGGGATGGAGGCCTCAAAGAAAGGGATAAAGCCCCCAAAGGAAGGGACAGAGCACCCTAAGGAAGGGTCTCAGAACACCTGTGAGTTCACGGATGGGATGAAAGCTTAAGGCTGCTCTCCCATCATAGGGTGGGAGAAGGGAGAAATAGTCAGGAAAATCCACTCTGAGCCATGGTGGGAGCAGGAAGATGGGCAAAGGGCACCCATGCAGCAGCAGGGGCTGGAGGAATTCCTGAACGGACTCACCAGCTTCAGGGTGCGGATGCTCTCATGGATGGGCCTGGGCAACCCCACCACGGTGTTGGTGTCACTGGAGGAGGGAAAGAGCCAGGCTGGGAGCAGGCAGGAGCAGGGCTGAGCACCCAGGGGTGGGGCAGAGGCCACCCAGGGATGAAGCCATGGACCAGCCAGCCCAGGCCTTCCCTGCTGCCACACAGAGATAAGAGCAGCCCCCAAACTGGYCTCTATCACAGCCCCTTCAGAATGGCAGCCCTGGGCTGGCTCTGAACCCACCTGCCCAGCGTGTAGCCGATGAATTTGCTGCGGCTGGATTCCAGGAACATCTCAATGTCCTTCTCCCTGCAGCAAAGRGAGAAGGGAAGGGTCACATCTTCTTGCCCCTCTGGAATGCCCCAGCCCCAAGCACAGGGAAAAGCCCCACAAGAAAACAGTCATCAAAGTGACCACCCCACCCCAAACACCTTCCCTACATCCCTRCTGAAATTCCCAATATTTAACAGCCTCCATTTCCCTGACCCTGCTCCAGCTCTCCCAACAGAAAGCGTCCCACACTCACCGGACCTTGGGGGCCCAGGGCAGCCCTTTGGGGCAGGTGATGCGATCGCTGGGGGGGTGCTGGGTGGGCGGGGGCATCACTTCATCCCGTTCCAGGGGGAAGGTCTCTCCCTCCAGGCTGTTGTCATCATCGTTCTCCTCTTCCTCCTCGCGGGAATCATCAGCTTTGTACGGATCGCGCTCATTGAAGGCATCGAGGTTATCCTGCTTGATGAGGGCCTGAAGAGGGGAGAGCGGGAAGGGAATACCCCAAAAACAAGCCCAGACCCTGGCAGTGCCCTCCTTAACGCCCCCATCCCCACCTTGTGGTCCCTGCGGCCGCGCTTCTGCTGCTGCTCGATGAGGTCGGAGGCGGAGGCGGGCGGGGAGGCTGCCCGCATGTTGCGGATCACCTGGATGCTGTCCTCCGGCAGCGGCGGCAGCCCCAGCATCTCCCTCTTCTCTGCCTTCATGCTCTGCAGCTCCTCAAACCCTCCCAGGGTGCACTGCAAGGAACACCAGAGGATGCTGAGCATAGAGGGCTCCAGGGCCATCCACACCTGTCCTTCCCAAACCCACTTTCCAGGATCACAGAATCATTCAGGTTGAAAAGCTCTCTGACATCATCCAGTCCCAGCTGTTTCCCCAGCACTGCCAAGGCCACCACTAATTCATGTCCTCAAATGCCATATGTATGTGTCCTTCAACACTGTCCTGGGCAGCCTGTAACAATGCCTAATTATTCTTTCCACGAAAA